GGGGGCTTGACAAAGCTGCAAGACAGAGAGTACTTGGGGGGTTTGAGGAGCACCAGGCAGGCCAGATTGGCTGGAATAGAGTGATGGGTAGAGGGGAGGGCGGGTAGGAAATGAGAGGAGAGCAGGTCATGCAGGGTCTCATATGCTGGAATAAGGACCAGCTTTGTTCTGAGTGCGGTGGGAGGCCACTGAAAGATGTTGTGCAGAAGGGACATGATCTGAGGTGTTTTAAAGGGACCTTTCTAACTGTGGAGAATAGACCATAGGAGGGTAAGGGTGGAAGCAGAGAGGCGAGTGAGATGGCAAGCTCCAGGAGAGAAATCTTGGCATCTCGGGATGGTAGCAGTGCATGGGGAGAGCAGTGCTCAGCAGGTGTATTTTGAAGGGGTGGCTGATGGGATTTGCCCGTGGATTGGCTGTGGTGCATGAGAAGGGGAGTCAAGGCTGTTAATTCCACAACCTATAAGAATGGATTTGGACTTACCTTTGAAAGAGATGGAGAAGGCTGCAGGATAAACAGTTGGGTCGCATAGGCAGGTGGGAAGTGAGAATCAGAAAATGGGAGTTCTGTTTAGGACATTTTAAATTTGAGGTGCCTGTGACATATCCAAGTGGAGACATTAAGTAAGGTATCTGATATAATCCTTTGGAGTTTGGAGCTGGAGATGAACTTGGAGTCACCAGTGTATAAATGGTATTTAAAGGCATCAGAGAATGAGGTCATCTAGGGAGTGGGAAGTAGAAATGCAAGAACTGATCCTTGGGGCTTTCCAATGCGTCGAGACTGCAGAGATGAGGAACCAGCAAAGACTAAGAAGGAAAGTCAATGAGGAGAAATAAGAGATGCCACAAAAACCAAAAGAGGAAAATGTTTGTAGGGAAAGCGATCAGCTGTGTACCTGCGCCAAGAATTCTCTTTCGACTTTTAACAGCTAAGTAGGTGCACTATTAGAAGTCCAAGGTTCTAGTTAACTTCCTGGGCACACAGGCCAAAGTGAAGACTACAAAAAAAACAGGGCATTGAGAGGTGTGAGGCGAGGGTGCCTAGGCGCCTGGCACGAGCAGGACCGCAGTAAATGTACGAGGTTCTGTTTCAACACCATTTCCCTTTATTTACTTACCTGTGTGCCCTCACCAAGTAGTAATCTAGGCTCTGTAGGTATGAGATGAACATGGCATAGAGGGGAAGGGGGTCTTCCACCTAAACAGCAAGATCACATTATAACCCATTAAAATTGTGCTACGGAACAGTGGATGCGATAAAAGGAGGTTTTTATTTCTGAGGAAAATATCTATATAAAATGTAGCTCAGGGAGAAATAAAAAAGGTTAGTTATCAAAAAGTAAGGAACCAGACTATCCCTGTGATCTCTAAGTTTAACACATAGAGGCCCCCATCCCCATATGAACAGAAGACAGCCTCCTCTGGTGTAGCCAGAACACTGCCAGCCCACCGTTAAGAGAAAGATGGTGGCGTCCTGTCAGCCATCTGCACATACAATCAGTGGATAACTCACAAAAAGTACTCTTACTGCAGAGTATAGATAAGGCACTTTGTTTTTAATTCTATTGGTTTCTTCAGAATTAATCAAGGTCTGGGGTTGTCTAGTGATCTGAAGTTGTGCTGGCTGCAGCTTCAGCAGGTTGACATGGGAAACCGTCAGAGCGCCACGGTCCGGAGTAAACTCCTTGCTGTGCTCTGCCCACCCGTCCACGTGCACTCCGACTTCTCTGTAAACTTCCCACAGCATGACCAGTGGGGGCGGCCCGGGTGGCCTTTGTGTCCATGGCCACAGCCTAGGTACCCCCCTGTGTGGTACAAAAAGGAGAGGGAAACACACCATCAGAGTGAGCCAAGTAGTTACTGTGGAAATTAAAGCTCCCGGCAATACTCCGACTCCTGGATGTAAAGACAGCTAATAAAAACCCAGTGAGAGGAATAAGCTACTGGACGCCTCTGTAGTCAGGAGGACTCCCAGGACCGAGGACAGCAAACCAATTAAGGTTAGCTGCAGTTCTGAGAAGAGTGTTATTAACACTGTGCTAACTCAGGAGATGAACTGGTTTGGATTTTAACTCTGAAATAATCAAGATAAAAGAGAAGGGCAGAGTAGTGGAAATAAAAAAGAAGGTAGATCCTGAAGTGTTTATACCAAAGGGTACAAAAGCCTAGCTTAAGGCTCACCATTAGGGTAAGGCCACGATAGAATGCTTTAAAAAAAATAATTAGATCTCTTGTCCGAGCTGACCCTCTCCCCTGAAGCAAAGAGCCAGACTTGGTTCATCTGGTTTAATCATCCACCGCCTCCCAGCCCTACCGTTTGGAACTTCTTTAACCTTTAAAAGGAACAGGATGCTGGAAAGGGTAGAAACAGGCAACCAAGCTCCAGAGAAGCACAGGGTTCATGGGGTTGGTGAACTGTATCAGCACTAAAAGAGCTCAGAACTTGTAAGTTTGCTGTTTCAATGTTCAGAACAAAAGTTTTAGAGCCGTGGTACTTGTATCCACAGACTATATTCTTACAAACAAAGCCTAAGCGGAATATCCCAAACCCACTGTCTGTGCAGTAGCTGATTCCCACTGCGGGAGACAGGCCCAGAGGGGAAGGACTGTCAAGAGCGACGGGCCCTCCTTACCTGGCATGGTGCCCCCACAGGCACAGCGAGCCGTTTTCTGGCCTCCACTGGAGCAGAACGTGCAGCAGTGAAACACGCCTGGGTGCGAGCGGTGCCTCTTCCTTACCGTCACATTGAATGGCGAGCCCTTCGGTGTTCAGACCAAGAGCAAAGAACAGCACCTCATGTATGAGTCAACAGGGATGTGCTGAGCATCCTATGCGCTAAACGGAGTGTAAGTCACAGGGCCTGCCCTTAAAGGGACCAGGACAGCAGGAGGAAGCACTACGGGACAAGAACTGCTGGGTGCTCAGCTGGATGGGGCCAGATACAAATGCAGTGACAGAGTCAAGGAGTCTGTGCTGCCCTCCTAGCACTTGACACACCGGTAACCCTGTCTGTGCTTTCGTGTCACTGCCTTGGTTGCTATCTTCTCAATTCTGGAGGAATCTCAGGTAATTAGTTGAGCGCCACAACCACAAGGCCAGGACATCCCATGATCCTTCCTCCAGCTTCTCAGCCTCCCACCTCCTCTCCTCATATACTCAGCTACCTCCTTCCCTTCCATCCTGGACATATTTGTTTACCCACCCACATATTCTGGGAGAGGGAAGAGATTTGCGCGAGAGAAAGGTTGAGAGTGTGGTTAATAATTCTCAACTAAGAAACTCTCCTACTTGCCCTCCTTTCCTGCATGGGTAACTTCCATTCCCCAATTTCTAGCCTATGTTAAACAGTAAAATATTTGCTAGGTATTGCTGTGTGCCTATCCCTCTGTGAACCATGCAGTCTGAAAGCAGAGTCGAGTCTGGCACCTGAGAAGCCTTGCAGATGTTAAGTCTCTGCCTTTAAAGAGTTTACAGACTATCTGAAAAACAACTTGGAATTAAAAAAAATATGGGGTCAAATTCTGATTGTGCTCTGCGTGTACTGTGTGTTCTGGCATGTGTGGTGTCTTAGTCTGTCAGATGAGGCTCTCCGTGCCTGAATGGTTTGGAGGTAAAATGAAATAATGTATGCAACACCTAATGCTGGCACACTGCAGTCAGGCAAGCAAAGAGTGGAACAGGGAGTCTTCTTAGTGCGCAGGCCACAGGCCTGACATGTCAGGACTCTGGTATTTCAGTGCCCCCGTCAGTGTTGATTTGTCTGGGGGAGCCTCTGACTACTCGAATGTCAGCAGAGAGACTGCTGGACATGGTGAGTATGGCCCCAATTTTTAAAATTCATCATCTCTAACCAGGAAGTGTTACACTTGTCTGTGGAGGTGGTGTGGTAGCCATGTAACAGGTAAGCATGCATGAAAACAGAGTAGAGAATCACATGGGCAGCAGGTAGGTGACGAGGCAGCTGAAAGGAGAGGAGGGTGTAAGTCTGATCGTGCTCCAGTAAGTCCGCGTCTGGTCAGAGTCTGAACAAAGCTGGAAAACCCTGAGCTACATTCCATCTTGAGTGTGTGTTGTCTGCTAGCAGATTGCCCCTATGGCTAAAGCATCTTTCCCAAATGCAGAGTTCCAGTAAGCCAACCGGGAGAGAGAAAATACGGGCCTAGCTGCCCGGAGGTAAATTAGGGCTAGAGAGTTCTGAGTCACCAGCATCCTCTGGCAAGAAGAAGAGTCGCTAAATCGGGGGCACCTCTAAGGGAAGGGCGGTGAGAAAGAGCACCCTACGTAGGCCGTCTATACAGCTGGTCCCGTGAGAAAGGCCTCCACATCCTCAGGTGACAGAGCCCCCGGGGCCAGGGCGAACGGCGCTCAGGAGGCACACGTCTTACTCACCGGCACGTGCTGGTCTTTGACGCGGACCAACACCGTGTAGATGCCAGGCTCCTTGGGGGTGTAGGAGACGCAGTACGTCCCGTCCTTGTTGTCCTTCACCATCGTTCTGATGGGACTGGGTGGAGAGGAGAGTTCCACAAAGCCATTCACTCTCACAGCCTGCTTCAGTTGCCCACTATTTTAGGATGTAAACTACATTAAGTTTGATCAAATTTTAAATGTCCCCCAAACATGATGCTGCTTCTACTTGTCTCAGAAATTACTTTCACAACAGAAGGGAAGCAACATAAATGCCAGTTTAATCTGCTGGACAGATGAATTCCTTGACAACTTTATGGCTTCTCCGGCGCCCTCCTGCACTCTGTCCTACCCCTTCCCTCTCCAGAGCCATACAACTCAGCTCCCAATACAACTAAGTAGCCAGGTGGGGTTGAATTTTGAGAAGGGCACCATTCAGTCTAATACAGAATGTTTTTCAATCTATTCCAAGCCTGGGATGAAGACAACCGGGCAGATCAGACCTTTGGGAGAGAATTGAATATATACAAGAAAACACATCGGGTCCAACTGGTCATTCCACATTTTTAGCAGCACCACGGGAGGCAGGTGGTAACGACTGCAGTTACAGCTCCACTACGGCCAAGGACCTCACATTTCCAGTTTCATCGCCGCTTATTACCCATGACACGTGACCGTAGTACAAACCTGTCTTTCTTATCTTTAGGGACAACTGCGACTTGAATGTTGTCTCCTCCCCGGCCCATGTTCTCTCCCGCTGCATCCTTACAGAGCAAGATGAAAGAGGCTGTCTGTTTCTCCCGGGCTCTGTGGAGATCTGCGGAAGATAAACACGCAGCCCTCACCTTCAAGGCCAACTGCAGCGACTGCCTCCCCAGGTCGGACACCCTCTTGCTTTTTCTCTTTCGAACATAAGGCTGTGCTTCCTGTTCATGGTGATCACCCTGCTGCTCCCTTCTTGTCTCTTCCCGTTCTGTCTCCCAGAGCACACCTGCTGGGAGTCTCTCCTTTTGAACCTGGCTCTCTCTCACAGCAGCTGCTTTTGGATCACGGGATCCTGGACCTTAACTTCAGCCCTAAAGAAGCTTTGAAATACTCAGGATTGGCCTAAGTACTTAGAGAAGAAAATCTCTAGACCCTGCAAAGGAGGCTCTTAGCCCCAAAACTACCTTCTCTCAGCTGCAGATACTGCTGGAATAGGCTTGGACTCAGACCCTCCACAGCGCAGTAGCTCGTGCCAAGGTGCTGGGATATTCAATAGTAAGGACACAAGAGACTACCTTTTAAAAAAATAACTAGATCCCTCCCCCAAGAAAAGAGCCAGACCTGGTTCAGTTAGTTTAATCACTCCCACAGCAGTCAGATGAAAACGGGGGTTCAGGAGAGGCTTATGAAGCCTAAAAATCTGAAACTGCCCAAAGTAGTGGGTGTTTCTTGGGAAAAGATCATTCTCAAAGGGATCTGTGACCTCCAAACAGTTACCAATTCCTGTGCCAGAGTCAGGAGGGCTCTAGGATACAGCCTTCCTGTCAGGACTGGTCTGTGACATGTGTGAATACCAGGCCTTCTTTAGAATGCTGTGGTCAATGATGTTTCCCCCCCTACTGAATGAAATGCCTACCGTGTTCTTTTAAGCACCAATGTCATGTGGCTTATGTGAACCAAAAAGGGCACAAAAGGAAATAAACCACAATCTCTTCCTCACTCCTGAAACTCTCTTCAGAACTTGATCCAAGCAACCTGGGGGCTGCCATGCTCCTCTCTGAGCACTTGGGATTTCGCCCTGCCCTGAAGTCCATGCTCTTATCTCCTAAGGGGCACCGCCCATGTTTTGTCTTCTAATAGAAAGAGCATGATCCTTGAGTTCCTTGGTAATTACTACATTTCTCAGCTGGAAAAGGGTCAGGCCTCATGCTGGCAGGGGATGTTAACTGTACCCTGACCAGAACAAAGCAGAGAGAAAAGGGCAAGGAAGGGGGTTCACTGTCCTTCAGTAAACTGGTCAGTAGGGAGCTCTTCAGAGATGAACAAAGGCCTGGCTGGAAAAGTTACCCTCTTTAAATACCAAGACCCTGTCCACTGCCCTCTCAGTGCCAATGGGAAGTGCCTTCCTACCTTCTCCTTGAAGGACACATTTGGCTGGATCGACCTCTTTGGTATTGATGGCCCCGTAAACTTCATAGCCACGGCACCGGCCTGCTTTCTCCTGAGGAGAGAAGCATATCTTATCGTTTACTCTGGGATGGGCGCTGTATTCGACTTGGTTCAGCTTCGTGAGCCGCTCCACTACCACCCCCTTGGTGATGAGGATCTCCAAGTCAGAGCCACTGGTCAGCAAGTGCTCGGTGAACTCCACTCCCGTGCGCATGTCTGCTAGCAGCTGCTCCAGCTGCGCCTTCTGCAGCTGTAGGGAGTTCTCCTTCTGGACCCGGATGTCTTCCAGCTGCTTCAGCAGCTTGTCCCGATGCTCCTCGATGGCCTTGACATAGCCCTCAGAGAATGTGCGGACATCCGCTGCCACGGCCTCCACTCGCTGCTGGAGGGCACTGTTCATCTCTCTGATCTGTTCCAGGGCTTCCTCCAGGGCCTCCACGTGGGGCTGGGTGTCTTTGAGGAGCCCCCGCACGGAGTCCCCATGCTTATGGATAATGTTGCTGGCGAAGTCACAGGGGTGCTCCTGGTGCTCACCCACCACACAGTTGCGACACACAGGCCGGTCACACAGCTCACAGAACAGCCTCAGCTCCTCCGTAGGGTGAGCAGGACACAGGATGGCTTTCCCAACCCGGCTGTAGCCTTTCAAGTCTTTTAGGTCCACCATGGTATGGTAAGTCGTTTTCTTCTGCCGCCTAGGGGCAGTCAGGAACAAGAAATTAGGGAACCATTCTAGTTGGGAAATAGTCCAGCAGTTTTAAGAGCATGGGCTCTGAAGTCAGACAAACCTGAGTTCAGTTCCTTGCTCTGACCTCTTTCTAACTACATGGTCCTCTCTGATTCCAGTTCCTCACCAATCCATACCTGAAAGGGCCGTTGTACAGAATAAATGATAGTAAACTAGGGCTCTCCGGCTTAGGACATGACATTGCAAAAGGTTGCAACACTGAGTCTACATCCTCGAACTTGTCCCAAAGAGTTAAATTGGCAAGTTTAGACAAGAGCCGCAGCCTACTCCTCCAGCAAGCTAGAGCTGAGAGCAACGTGAAACCCAGCACCAAGAAGCAACTGTGCCAGATGGCACAGCGGTAAACCCCAGGCCATTGGAAAGCAGCTAGCTGACCCCACAAAAAGTCTCCCTCAGCTTTTATCTAAGGTGTTGGTACAGCATTTCCTTTGGCCAGTTCCTGTATCGCCCAAAGCTGCAAGCTAGAATTTTCCTCAACAAGTTACCAACATTAGAGAGTGAAGTCAGTGTTCAGAATCAACGCTCTTTTTTCTGGAGCCCTCCAGAAATTCAGGGAAATCCCTAGGAAGCCATGGTGCCTGTTCTGGCCCCAGAGGAGTGGCTGTAGAGAAAACAGGACCAGCTGTTTAGTGGGCAGCAAGGCAGTCACAGTTACAAGTTAAAAATAGAAAGACTGAAGATGTTCTGTGGGTGAGGCCAGAGAATAAATGGAAGATAGACCTTAAAAAGTACTTGAGGATAATCCTAAAACCTTGCCTGCTTTATATTCTGATGCCCTGGAATGGGGGAAGGGTTTGAGGAGCTGAGATTCATATGACAAACTGTTCACCAAACGCCATAAACGACACCATCTTGCACCCCAGTGAGCACCTACCAGCCCACTTCACCATGCTCCAGAGTGACTCTAGGGTACAAGGCAAAGGCTGAGCTGGGGCCCTGCCAATTAGCACCTTACACTGGGAAGGGCAGCATGGATTAGTAGAAAGCTGAGAATGCAGTCAGGTCTGGACACAAAATTCAGTTGTTATATACTACTTACCAGCTCCGGGACCTTGGCAAATGACATATTGCTGAGCTTGTTTCCTCAATAAATAGGGGTGGAAACAGTGCCTACTTTTCTATACGAGGTGCAAGGATCAAGTGAGATTGAGGCAGGGGCTATGCTATTCTATTCTATTCATTCTCCTGTTTCTCCAGCACCCAGTACAACTATCTGGCATGCAAAGGATTGATGATCCAAGGACACTGTGAATGTGCTTTGCAAACTGGGAAGGACTATGCAAGCCTTTGATACCACTATTACAGTGGGCATTATATAAGGCTGCAGGAGTACACTACTATTCTAGAGTATTTGCTCTCCCATCATAGACTGCTCTTTGCCCTTCTATGGCATTTGATAAAGCTTTTCATCTGCTCACCAAAGGGGGATTTCTCCGTCTCAACACCTCTTTCTACTCTGCTCTTAAGCCACACCAGGTTGGGGTATCCCATCTTTACCTATGCGCCTGGCAGCAGAAATGGCAGAGATTGGCTTTGCAGGTCTGACACCTCTTCTCCACATCCCTGTCGCTGCACAGGTCACACACCAGGCCCTGGCCTTCCCCACGCAGACTCTCCAGCATCACATCATTCATGGCCAGGTGGTCTATGGTTAAAGCCTTCACTCCACCCGTGGGCAGGTCCACCTGAGCATCACACACCGGACAGAGGATGCCGGTTTGCGGCTGCAGGCCGCGTGGCTTGAGTTCCTGGAATAGTGACCTCTCAGAGCTGGTGTCAGAGTCTCCCCCTCGGATGTCCACTACTGAGAAGGGCTCCAGCTGCTCCAAACACGTGGTGCAAACTGTATGCAAACAAGGCAAGAGCCTGGGGGCTTTGAAGAGCGCCATGCACGAAGGGCAGTGAGTCTTGCCTGAGTTCCCAAGGGCAGCCCCACTGGGGAGTTTGCCCACGAAGCCCAGCAGCGGCTTCCTCTTTTCTGACATATTCCCCACGTTTATGCCCAGTATCAGAAAAGGCCCGGGGCAGTTCTGTAATGAAGTAGCCGATGAAGCCCGCCCAAGGAGAGAGGTTCCGGAACTTGAACATAGACCCTGGGGAACCGCTCTTCGGCAAACCAAAGGACGACCGGGAAGAGGAGGACTCCTCGCAGGAAGGACCCTCAGACCTGCCCAGGCGTGCCCCCAC